TGGAACTCAGTTTTAATACTGATTTTAATTAAGAATTTCCTTCATTTTAAAGGATTATTGCTATGATTAGGTTATTTCTGAGGCTGAGAAGTGTTTTAATGTGCTAATTTTTCACTAGCTAGAGACAGTTTCAACACAAGCAGCATGCTTTCTGTAAGATGTCAATGTTAGCTTAATCTGTACCTCCTTAAGATGTGTAAATTTTGGGGGAAAAAAAATCTCTGAGATCTATGCTGTGGTGTGTGATTTTAATGTCAAAACAGTTTCTGTATAGGTCTGTAGCAATTACAATACCAGATTAATTAAATGGAAAAGGATACCCAAAGTATTACATCAGTAGCTAGAAAAGTGTTGTCAATGAGAGTACTACAAAGATAAGAGAAATAAACACCCAGTAACTTTTACAGTGTCTGCCAGTGCAGAAGAAAGGACAGAAAGGGGCAATACAGTTCCATTTTGGGGAGGGGAAATTAAAATCACTTTGAAAATAAAATCTGAACCTGATCTGAGCATGGCATCATTGAAGGAAAATAAATACCTGAGCCTTACAATAGATTACCTACTGAAATTAGTTGTGAAGGTGTTGTGAAGCTGACAGTGAAGCCTATCAGCTCACCACACTGAAAATCAGCTCAGTGATGTGACAGAAAATAATCTCAGCTCACGTCTCTACATGCTGTTATGATGCCATTATATTCAGAGGGCAAGGGTTGGAAAAGGAAAACACTGTCTTAATTTAATTGCAATGATTTCTAGACCTGTTACAATCTTATTACACTAAACTGCACTACAAGGCACAAACTGAAAAAGAAATTATATCTGGCTGTGTGAACAATGGAACAATGGATCTGAAGGATTCGCTAATGTGTCAGTGGGAATTCTGGTGGTGCAGCTAAACAATGAAAACATTTCTTTTTATAGTCCATTTTTCAGTCAGCAATAGTTTTATTCATTTGTACATGTCCAAGCTAGTGCACTGGAAAATGTTAAATGATATAACTGGGAATTGCATCCTAAGCAATACAGTGGGACTGGTGTATTTTGAGGGGATTTGTTGTATGTTTGTGTGTCTCGCTGTTGACAGTGTTAGAAACTCTGTATGACATTACCTTTTTGAAAGCTGCATTTTGTAACTAATGATTTAAGTTTCACATGTATTGAGTGGTGTATTACAAATACCTATTTGGTGCATGAAAACAAAAGAGCTTTTACACAACCCTAGCAGAATTTTCAGGAGTTAATACTCCAATTTCAGGACAAAGAAACCTCACTTACACTCCCTATTTACATGCAGTGATCAAAGCATTTTGATGTTTTATATATTTCTCTTCTTTTTTTTTTTTTCTACTTCTTTTGCATTACTAATAAATACCAAAAATACCCTGTAGTAGTTTCATATCAGAAGCATTGCAATTCATAACACTCTACAGTATAGGATTGTGGAGTATTATAATGTGATGTTACAGCTAACAACACTCTCAACTCAATAGCAAGCTTTCCCAGTCACAATGAAGTAAAGAAAATCTGAGCTACAGTATCCTTTTCAAATTCACTAAAATAGCAGGCACTGGTTAGAAACCTTATTCCTATACTGTTTACATTTAGCAATATCATTGAGAGAAGAAGCACAACACAAGCACACTCCATCTGGCTGGTGGAGAAGGACTTTTGAAAAGTGACTTTCCCTTCCAGGTCATTTCTTTGGCTCTGTCATTTGACAGCATCAGGATGCTTCTGCCATTCGGTGATTGCTTTGACAGGCTACCTTTCACACTCTGACTTCTGGGTCTGTGCAGGATGTCATCGCCTCCAGTGAGCTTGTTTGCGGAATGAGGTGGCTCTTGGTAAGGGATTTGGATCTCCGTGGCAAAGCCTGCTGTGCAGAGCTGCCAATGGGATGGGGCACATTAGACCCTTCTTTGCTGAGTTTGCAAAGAGGTAAAGGCTCAGCTAAACACAGAAGATGAAACATTTTTACTTCGGGTTCATGTAATGCATGTCCATGGAACAGATCAGAGAAGTTTGGACAGCTGCTGCCCATGCTGAGCCTGTTTGGTAGCTAGAGAGAACTTCAACATGCAAAGCATCTAGCACTGTCAGCAGATGTGCTGGTTTCACTAAAATTTATCAGAGAGTATGATTATAGCATCTATTTTATTGTGACTAACTTTTGAAGAGCCACTTGAACTTGTTGGAAATCATCTGATTGATAGATCACATTTACTGCCGTGTGATCAAGGGGAGCTGAGCTCTGTTGTGTAACTCATTTCATTTCAATTGAAGGCACAAGTGTCTGTTTCACCATTTGCAATCTCACTTAATGTAGCAGTCTCCCTCTGCTCTGAGCTTTTAAATTGCGTGTTTGTTCAAGTTTAGGTTTTCTTCCATGAGTCATAGCTTTCATCCATGAAAAAACTGCAGTGCTGCAACACCTGCCCTTCAGGTGCCTGGCCCCAGAGCACAACCTGAAACATAAGGTACTGCACGTGCGCCTCTCCCTCAATGATCTGTTGTCACAGAGGATGACAGGCCCTGGATTGCAGCTGGGAATGAATGAAGGAAGCAGAGGAGCTGATGGGTGATGCTGAGGGCAGGTGTGGGCTCTGCACTGCCACAGAGCCGAGGTGCTGCAGTCCACCCGCAACCAGGTGTTTTCATCCAGGCAGTGTGCCCTCTCCTGAGAACAGCTGCTTAGGGTTTGTGTCTGGAAGAACAGAAGGTTCAAACCGGGGCCAGAAGTGGGGATCTCCTCCTGCTGAGGAGGGCTCAGGAACTGAATCGCCCCCCCTCTCCAGTGGGTGCTTTAATCACTCATTTAAAACCAAAAATGGACACTTGTTCCAGCTCTTCACCCCTCCGGGAGCTACGTGGTCAGGAAGCTCGCACAGGAGCATAGGCCTTATTTCACCGGCGTGGTGCTCTGCCTAAATTTTGGAGGACACAGTACAGGAGCCTGGTAGCCTCAGGCAGCCTGGGCGTGAGGAAGAAGGAGCTGGAGGTGGAGGCATTTTCAGGGTGAGGCAGGCACATAACACAGGCAGACTCTGGGGTTAGGTCTTGGATTTAGCTGCCTGAAGCCTGCCTAAGTCCTGATTAAAACAGATTTTATTATTATTATTTGCTTTTGTTCTTCCTCTTCGGTGAGCAGCAGAAAGCACAAAGTAGGGTTTGGTTTATTTTTCAAAGACAATTTCTTGAGGTGAATGAATTGTCTTCGTTCTTCACAAGAGGCTTTTCCTCACCAGCAGACTTTCTCCAGGTATTAGAGCAGGGTTCTCTGTCAGGGTCCTATAACAGGCTCAAATAAGGATTTCCTTTCCTACTGCTCTGTAGCAGACTTGCCTCCCGGTCTCCTTTATGAAAACACTTCAACTGCTGGAATAATCGCTCATCTAAATAGCAGGACTCCACTGTTTCAGCCACAGCAGGGGTCTTTATGAATGTCACTACAAAGTGCACTTCATGCATGTGGGAAAGATGGGATGTAAGGGGAGAATCACCATTACACAGGCACAGTCTGAGCACATTAAAAATACAATATAACAAATGTGGGCTGAAACCATCAAAGGTATGCATGTTTTACTATCCAAATGAAAACGCGTTACAATAAGTCCGTCTACATCATGTTGTTTTGAATGGCATATATTGGAATTGTGCAATTTTCTCTATAATTAATAAGATTGTTCTTAATTATACTGCTCAGAAAAACATAATATCGGTTTGCAAATTGATTGATTTGCAAGTACAAAAAGAGTGCTTTGAAGATGGAAAGAATAATGCTTTGCACATCTGTGACTCTTCCCGTCCAAAGACGGGAGGCGGCTCAGCAAACAGTGGTGCTTTCAGACTTGCACCAACTTCTTGAACTGAATGTTGTCATTATTTTACACATTTGGAAAATGAGAGGGAAAACATGACACAGCCAAAGCCACGTGGGGAGGTCAAAGACAGAATAAAACCAGAATAACTACCACTTAAGTGTACTAACCATTAGGCTATCCTGCCTACAAACACTGAAGGTATGTATTACTTATACAGTGTATTATGAAATGCTTTCAAGCATAGTATCTGCAAGAGAAATATCCTTATTTTTGTAAGGTCTTCCAACACCTTAGGTTCAATGCACTTCAATGTATGTTATGGCTAAATGCAGACTTGTTATAGCCATGGATATAGTGTTATGATACTAAAATGATACTATGATGAGAAACAATGTGCACTACAAATGCAAAGGAATGCAACTCCATTTCCACCTTCTAGGCAATCTGTGCTGATGGAGACAGCATTTTGGAGATGTTAATACTCTGAGAGATTGAAGTGAAGAGTGCAAGATGGGTGGCATCAATAAAGAAACAATCTGTTTACTCTTCAGAAATAGTCTTTTTTTTTTTTTTTTTCCTCCCTCAGTTCCCACTCTATTCTGCAGCCCTATTTTTGGTGGCTTCAGCCCTACACAGAGACTGAAAGCTTCAGCTCTTCAAGATCCCACTTAATTTGTTTTGTAGTGCAGTTGGGCCACAGCATTTCACTGCCAGGGGTGCAGAAGGGCGATCCCCACATATCCGCATCACTCCCTGGGTGAATTCCTTCTCAGCAGAAGGATCTCTCCTGCACCTACTGAAAACCTGGGCAGCTCGAGACATCTGGGTATTCAGAAATGCTTGCAGCAAATGTCAAAAAGGGAGAACAAGGGCACTCCTCCAGCACATGGCTGAGATAACTGTGACAATAAATATTCCAGAGGTCTATTTTATGCATATATTTAAGTCATATTTTGTTGGAATTTAGTATCTGCTTTATACAAAGCCATAAGAATATAAATCAATGCCTTCTGAATTGTATTGCAGAAGGAGAAGGCTAGAGGAAAATGTAGTGTTATGTGTTTTTTTTTGTTTGTTAGTTTTTAATGGTAGATACAGTATAGTAAATTGACCTTTTGAGGTGTTAACAAATTTCACCATTTTTTAACAAGGTGGTACTAAAATACTCATTCTGATAAGTTCTTAGAAAGATTTTTAATTTGATGATAAGAATTTACAAGAAGGTGTAAAATACAGAAGCAGGAAACAGTAAGGAGCGAAGAATATTTGTCAGCTGCATTGGGAGAGAGAAGCTCCTCTCTTCTGTGAACATATACCCACATGCCTGTGAACAGAGGAAAGTATCTCAGCACTATTTAGTTCATTTCTCAGTCAGTAGATTGATTGTTTAAACTTGTGCCTTATCAGGCCTGACATTCGTAATTTCCCACCTTCCCATGGCAGTGTTTCACTGTTTTCAGGATCCAGCACAATGAAGGCATCATGGGAACCAATGCACACTAGGAAAATTTACTGTCAACCATGTAAGTAATAAAGGACACATAAAAATGTATGTATAAGATGAAGCACCACATCACTTCAATATATTAATGTTACAAATGGCTAGCCCATCTCATTTACGTCACTTTTTACATTGGCAATAAGAGCTGAAATTGATAATTTATGTTAGCGGAAATTTGCCCAGATAGGACATTTTAAAGTTCTTTTGGGTCTCTGGGAAATGAATGATGGCAAAGGTCTTCTCAGAGGTAACTGGAAAAATACTGCCTGTCTCTTAGTGACTTTATGTTATGCTTGCCTTTTCTTAGGGGTCTGTTGGGAAAGACAATTTGCACTAGTGAACAAATCACAGAAAGCGGAGGATTTACTGGTGATCTTAACTCCTGCCATCACCCCTGCCCACTTACTACCCCAACTAACCTAGCTTATTGTTTTGCTTATCCATCTCCAGTGCCTTTGTGTAATTATTAATTACACAGAAAGAAGCAGGGGGAGAAGGCAGACAACATTCTGTTTGTACCATACAGGTTAGCCCTGCGCAGGACAATAGCGAGGTGACTGGTTCAAACTCCTTAAGTCTCCATGAACTTCTCCCGAGCTGGCAGAAAGGATGACCTACAAGAGATACGCGGGAAATTCAGCCCACTACACTCCCAATTCCTTTGATATCTGTCAGAGCCCAGGACCACCTACATTGAAACCTTACATCCCTCCAGTGCTTTTGCTGCCTCAGCCCATTTCTGCATTCCCAGTACAAGATCCCTGGGCACAACCTGGGGATGGAAGAAAACAGTTAAATCATCAGCTAATCTAAACTTGGCTGGTTTAAAAAAGAAAGCAATAGGGAACAATCCTTTCAGACAGTTTTCAACATCACTTTAAGGTAATTTCCATCATGGGCTGTAGCTTTTATTTTTGTGGGTAGCTGTAATTTTGTTTTGAATTAAATATTTTTTGTTGTTGTTATTTACTTTGGAGCAGCATTTTTCTCAGAAGAAACTTTTCTGTTCTGGTCTGAGCAACAACCCCAAGGCCTGCAATGAGATCAAAGCAATTTGTGTTACACGTGTTGTGTTTTTTTTTTTTAAAAGCAATTTATTTCTGCAGATTCACAGCCAGCATATCCAGAAACTTTGAAATTCCACTCTTCATCTTCTTTTGACATATGTAAAATCAATCAGATGCAACAAAAGCAGTGGTTGAACCAACGAAGCCTTCAACAAGATGCCCAGGAACGTGAATAGACATAGTGGTTTGGATTAAGGAATCAGGCCCATACAGTAATGAAATATTTGGCTTTTGAGGAAAGAATGCAGTTCGTCTTCAAACACCTCTGCCAGGCAGTGCAAGGTGTAGGATTACTAATCCGCCCCGGGGGAAGCCATGCGTGGCATTCTTCTCTTTGGTGGTGGCAGTCTGAGTTGTGGACAGAGGAAGAAGAACAAGGGGCAACAATGACATTCCCGCAGAGAAGCCCTGAGAAATTGTCCAGGCCCTGCTGCCTGGCTGCCAGCCACGGCAACATAAGGAACAATCCTTCATTTGTTGCACATACAGAGTCGCTTAATTTTAAAAACACTTCCTGATGCAGCGTTTTAATTCTTAAGTACTTCGCCACCTGACATTTCTCTCTCGAACTTACAAAGGAGCAAGAGAAAACCACAGCTATGGATAAGGGAATGGAGAGAAACTAAAAGGATTTTATCACTAGTGCAGTCATAATTCAAGGAAAAAAGAGCCAGAAGACAAGTTCTTTTCAACTCTTTGATGCCTGACAACCCCTCCTTGTCCCACCACTCTCCGACGGAATAAATACTGGAATAGAGAATAGAACGGATCTCAAAAGAAAAATATGTATTGTGTGCCATAAATTACACAAGCAGATGCAGCCATGAACGAAAGAATTAAGAACATAAAACCCCCGCGGTGTGCACTGGCTGATGAAGGGCTGGCGGCTGCCAAGGGACACTGCGTGACCAGGGGCAGGCCAAGCTGGGATCTCGCACAGACCCTGTCACGCAGCACTCGCTGCCTTCTCCTTAGCATTCATCCTCTTACACAGCTCTTCTGCATATTGGTAGCTGTTTAATGAGTGTTTTGGCCACAACCAGCTTGTGGTACATCTTACAGATGCCTGAGAAATTTGGTGATGAAGGATTTTGCACCTTTTCCCAAAAACATCTCTTCAGAGGAATATTCTCACCCTAAGGTGAGCAGAATAGGCCGAGGGCCAAGCCTGAAGCTGCTGCAGCCTTGCAGAGTACTATCAGCTTCAGCTTGGTTTCATTACTCTTTGATGGAAAAAATGTAATATAGCATTATTGTGTTATATACTGAACTAATTACAAATAACCTAGCTAGCTGCTTAATGCTCATCTGAGATTGGATCCAGATTTTTCATATTTACACATCTAGAATATGTTCCCATTCCTTCAAGATATCACTTCACTTATTAAAAGATTAGCAATATTGGTGCCATTTAGCTTCACATGAACAATTAAGAAGATAAAGCACTTGATGCATTATCAAGGGCATCAAATAGTTAGATGGCATTCACTTGCTATCTCTAAGATGCTTTGAATAAAATCCCTATAAGACTCTGCAAAAGGACATTTTGCCAACTTCATTGTTTTACATGTCACTTGGTGACCACCCAAGAATAAGGAGTAAATAGTACTTTATGCTGGAAAAGTATACATATGACCTATGATTTTCAACTGTCATACATGTGAATTTGCAGAAAATCATGCAATTAGAGACTAGAAGGAGAGTAAAATATCTGTTTGCATTCAATTCTGCTGAGCAAATCAGAATTGCCAGAGGACTACAGGACAAACGTCCTTTTCTCTCTTGCTTGTGCTCTCCATAAGCTATGTGCTGCTTCAAGTTGCATCTATTCAAGCAACACAATTAGGGGACAGTCGATATAATTTAGCATTTTGTCCTTTTTCCATTTGTTTGATGAAGAATTTTTGTTTTGTCATTCATGAATGAATGAATTCAATCATGAATTCCCCCACGTGAAATTAGGAAATATGACACATGAAGTTTGAAAGCCAGGGTTTTTCCATCCTTGCATGTTTTCCCTTGGAGCTCAGAAACTCAAGTTATCCCAGTGCAGAGGAAGGAGACAAAATGGAGTAATAAAGTCTCTGGCTACATCACAAGCCCCTTTCTGACCTGGCCATAAGATAATATATGGAAAGTGACTGAATTATTCAGGATAAGTATAGATGAGCTACAAAAGTATGTTGAGGCAAAACCAGAAAGACAAAAGCACAAAATGAGGTGCATGCAGGGACAGAGAGGCAACAAGCTGTCACTCCACAAGTACATGTGAAGGAGGCCAGGGGAGCACTGGCCCACTGCTTGTGTGCAGGACAGGTACTGGCAGATGACACCAAGAAGGTACAAGTTATGACTTTTTTTTTTTTTGTATCTGTCTTAATTCAACATGTATTTCAAACACATTAAGCAAGTGCTGTTGCTGAATACTGCAGTTACACCCCCTCTGCTTCACTCCATCCCCACCTCCTTGCTCCCTCCTGCATTCCACTGCCACAGCCATTGGTAAGGGCACGCAGGGATCTGGATGGGGGAACTGATCCAGCTGAAAATTAGCCTAGCAAAGAGGTGATTGTTAGTAAGATAAATCAGTTCCTCGGTTTGATTCACCTCATGGCAGCACTGTATTCAGATAATTTTCTTTTCAAATTGGCTAGACTGTTTAACTTCATCCCACGGTACTTAAAGCGCAGGCTGATCACAGAGCTGGTAGTTACTGTCTCTGAGAGACTAGAGGCACAGGGTGACAGAAGATCAGAAATGCACGGTGCCTTAGAATGGGGGAAAAAGAAGGAGCTGGGAGATTACTGATCAGACTAGGTAGCTTCCTCCCACTCACCACCAAAAGAAAAAACAAATCCCTAGCATTTTTTAAACAAACTGTTTGTATGTACCTATAAGATAGTGGGGAAGTGAGCACATTCAGCTGCAGTTGTAAGAACAAAGTTTGCCAAACCAACCTAGTTCTTTCTATAACTGCATTGTGTTGTGGACAGGGGGAAGGCTGTCGGTGTCATATAACTTCACTTCAGCAAGGCTTTTTGCACACTCACAAGCAAAATGAGGAAGCACAGCCCTGGTGACCCTGCTACACCTGTTCTAACAGGTGTAAAACTGTAGGCAATTTACCTTAAATATAACACAAAATGAGGGGATGTATGAAATACAATTCTGCATGGTTTAGTCCTTAGTCCCATTATATTCAACGTTTTCCTTAATGACTGAAAAAGGGAGTAGAGCTTACTTAAATGCGCAGGTCACAGCTTGGGAGCACTGCTAGTATGCTAGTCAATAGGCAGATTAAAATTAAAAAAAGAAAAAAAAAAAAGACTTGAAAGAACCATCTGTAAAGGCAAGGTAACAGGTAATAAGGCTGGCCCACTGCAAGAGACTACATTTAGGCAGCAATTGTCTGATGGAAGGCAGATAACTGATTAGGAAGCAGTTTTAAAAGGTTAGAGTACAAACTAAACATTTTGTCAGCTGTGCTGTGCAAATTGGAAAAGGCAAGCATCATACTGGGATGGATAAATAGTCCTCCAAATGCATGAAGTAATCCTTCCACCTTACTCAGCACTGATAATGCCTTAGCTGGAGCACTAGGGCCAGTTCTGCATGCCATGTCATAAGTAAATGTGGACCACAAACAGAAAATCCCCAAGACAACCAGAATCATCTGAGAGAGCTTCAAAGCGTGACCTGTGAAGGCAGGCTGAGCAAAATTTGAGGCTGTCAAACCCATGAAGGTGGTGTGAAAGGGGGTGATAAATTCCTTGAGCGCATAAAATTGTATCAAAAAGGAAGAGAGTTATCACAGTTAGAACAAGTTTAAATGGTGTTTAAATTGTATCAAGAAAGGCTGTCATTCAGATTAAACATTAGAGAAAAAAATATTTCCAATGGTAAAGGCAGTAGAGCACTAGAATAAGTTACAGAGCATCCATGGAGTCTTTAAGAACATTTTAGACAAGTGTTTGATGTGATATCGTTGGCCCTGCCTTGGGTTACATTGACTAGATGAACTCTCAAAGTCTTTTCCAGTCTGGTTTTCCTGAGATTCACCTCAGCGTTGTTGTTCAGACCTTTAAGCTTCCCAGGGAACAGTAAGTACAGGTCTGCTTCCTTGGACATTGTGCTGCTGTTCTTCTCACACCTATTTTATTTGGTTTACATGATGTGAATTGCACAAGTAATTGGCTGGAATACCTCAAATAACCCTGCTGCACTTACAAACTCTCTCATGTGCTATCTAACTCGGATAATGGAAATTGAGATTTCAGGTCTAAAAGGCCCTCTGCCTGCTTAACCACCAAACAGCAACCCACTGCTCCATCTTCTGCTCTGATGAGATCAGATCTTGCCCCCGCTTCGGTCATCAACAACAGATTCCTACCTCCTCAAGGGCAACTGATGGAGCAACTAGTTTAGTTAATGTCATACCAGGAAATAAATTCCTGGTTTCCTTTCTGAGTACTCATGTATGTGGTGCTACTATTTAGGGGCTGGTGATGGGGAATCAGCTTTTCCTCTCACAGTCATTTGTGTATGTCAGGCCAGGCCAGTACTAAGCAGTTCTGTTAACTAGTTGCTCGTTGTAAAATGGTCTCCTGCTCCTATCCCTGCTAGGAGGAGATAGAAAGCAGAGCTAAAATTTGGCCAAAAAAAAAAATCACAATCACAGTAGTGAAATACCAAAGGACTGAGTAGG